CTTGTTCTAATCTCTTCCCCCATCACTTACCCCAACCTAATGCAGCAGAAAGGCAGTTTTTCAAAGCTTTCCTTTCTCATTATTTAGAACAGCCACCAAGGTGATCCCAGCTCATCAGGGATCACAGCAAATAGTTACCCTAGCCAATCGGTAACCAGCTGTGCGCTGGTATTATTGAGAGCAAATTAAGCCCCTGCAGCCCTCGTTCTCAAGCACTGGCTACTTTGCTGCCTCTCTTCCCTGGAACATCTTCTCAGATGAGTGGAATGAAGAAACCTTTTCTCGTGACTACCAAAAGTATTGCAGACTGTGTAGCCTTTCAAGCCGGTTGGAGCAGAATGGTATTGCAAGACATAAAAAGAGTGCTCTGGGTTCAGGGAAAAGATTTTTGTGGTCCAGGCTCCTGTGCAGAGCTTCAGAATATTCTTTTTGGACTACAGTTCCCAGAATCCACAGCTAGCACAGCCATGCTGGCTGGGGGTTTCTGGGAGCAGTAGTCCAGAAGTCACTTCTACAAGCTGATGGTTGTCATGTATACCCTCTGTTGGAAAACCATTCTGTTAGTCCTGGGTAATGTATTCATATTAGGCGGATGAATGCATTAGACTAAGGCTGAGGCACATGTGTGTGCGTGTGTGTGTGTGTGTGTGTGCGCGTGCGCGCATGTGCATAGAAAATGGATACGTTCCCATTCTGACCAAATATAAATTCCCTTTGACCAATCCAATTTCCTAGAAAATCAATGCATTTTAACATGAGCTAATATTTATGAAATTGAATTTTGCAAGGAAACGAATGCAGTCAGTCCTATTCTACTTTATGCATTTTTATTAAACTAATGCATTTTAAATTTAACTGTCATATATTAACGACAACAGGCCATGGGTACTTACCGTGTGAAATAATATATGTTTGCAGAAATCAATAGCTGGCCAAATGTCTGGATTTGTGCTGAGCCAGGCTCAGACAGATATGACAAATTCACGTAGGTACTTAATTTGCTTTTATGTACATTAGCCGGTAGGTTTGTTTACCGGTAATGATTATTCTGTTGTTGTTATTGTTTTTTAAGTTATTAAAACATCCAGCGGGTGGACTCTTATATGGCAGAGTGTATTGAAGTAGATTTCATAGCTGGATATGCATGAATTCTCATCAACAGAATGATGGCTGCTTTCGTTCCCAGTCTGAATTAAATGATCATTTGGAACGCATTCTGTTGATATTGGGTTTTGGTTAACAAATAAATTAAACTAGAGAAGATAAATATTATCTTTCTGAATCTCAAGAAAACCTTCCTGTTTTTAGATCCTTTCAGGAAGTACGTATCTGAAGCTAAGCCAAATGTGTGGCTGAAGGGCGAGCAGTTCCTAGATTACAGCTTTCTGAGCATGTACAGAGTGTATAGTCAAATCCATTAGCCACCTCTCCCTCTCTGCATCTTTATTTTTAAAATCTCTCTGTTTTGTGGCCAAGGTCTTGCCCTGATGGGTCAGCGCTTGCATTACTCTACAGCTGCCACCTGGGGGCATCTGCAGCCCACACAGTCCCAATATCCACTCCGGGTGGAAGCTTTTAAATTCTGGGTCCCAGTCACAAACCAACCTGTGGCCGGGGTGTGGGATGAGGGAGCCACGTTTGCAGAGGTGAGCAAAAGCCCGAGAGGGTGCCCAAGTCAGTCACCTGCCAAAAGAGGTTGAGGCATTTACAAGCAGCAGCTTCTGTTATTCACGAGAAGACAAAAACAAAACAACACCAAAACCCATTAGATCCTTTAATAACCCTCTGTGAGAAGGATTTTGAAATGTTTAGGGAAAAAATGGGCCTAATGAAGAGTGGGAGGGACCCATATTGTGTCTGCCATGGGAGGGGGAAATATATTTCTTCTCCCAATTCCCCTTTCCCCCCTCAAAAAACAAAAAACAGGTGAACGGAGTGTTTAAGGAATTCTAATAGAGATGGGGGAAAGTTTTGTTTTGTTTAACTGTAGCTTACAGAATTTCTCAAATGGTGGGTTGGAAATGCCATTCGTTCCCATTAGATAGAGGAAGCCTGTAGATATGGTGTGTTTTTTTTCTTATTCTATGGAAAATAATGATTATGATCAAGTCAGTTCTGGAAATCTGGATACCAGGAGATCTTTGCTAACTCTCTTAGCTGCACTGAAAAAAATTCCACACCCAGCAAATCAATCCTTCTGTTTTAAAACAGAATGATTTACAGATCGAGAGAGAAAGATAACTTTGGTAGAGATTAACCAGAAGAAATTGTATTGGAATTTTAGAAAACACCCCAGGGAATCCAGATACTTAGATGTATTGCCAATGCAGTGGATTAACCAACTTGAAATTTTCTTCTTAAAAAAAATCTAATACTATTGCATTGCTTTGTTTTTATTTTTTTGATTAGTCCATTTTTTAAAAAATGAAAATATTATCAGCTTAGTGTTCAGAAGTAGATTCCAATCTTCAAAGAGACACTCACTGCCTTGATCTTTGGGGTGCCAGATTAAGAATGCTTCCTTTTCTCCTGTCTGTTCATTTATCAACCATCATTGATCTATAAAGACTGCAAGAAATTTAAGCCTAGCAAATGTTCTGGTTCTGTGTCGAGTTTTGTGTTTTATGCTGCTAGTTCTGCTCCTGTCTTCAATGTTATGTTGTTGTTGTTTTTACATTTACCGGCTCTTTCCTTTCGTGTAAGGTTTCTCCAAGACCTATTGCTAGTAGACAGGATTTAAATGTTGCTAAGTAAATGAAGATGTTTAAAATGAAAATCATCCTGACTGGGTGGTAAAAGGGGAGGAAGCTGGAAGCTGTGGTCTCGAAAACAGATCCAGCCTCGGGGTCTCTTGCATCCTCTGGTTCTCCGGCACCCAGAAGCTGGTGCAGAAGGCCATGTCTAAAAGCACCGTTTGGACAATGTGGCCCAGGTGGGATGGGCAGGGAGGTGAGGAAAGCCCCAGCACCTCCGGCAGCGTGGCTGAGGATGATGGGCGTTGCAGTCCCTCCCGAAACAGTTTCCAGTCTGGGAGTGAGAAACACGCGTGCCAGAAGGAGTCGAAAAAACCAATTTACGACTCCCTTGCCTCTGGGTTCCTTGGCTGTCCAAAAGGCGGCTGCCCTCCTTTTGACAGCCGGGAGGGGTCGCCAGAGAGCCGCCGCCGCCCCCCCTCCCCGAGGCGGCCGGAGAAGGTTGCGCCCCCTCTAACCAAGCCCACGAGGGTGACCAGGCTTTCCTCCTTTCTGGGCTGAGCGCTTCGCTTTCCGGGCAGCCTCAGCCCAAGTTAAAAACAAAACCTCTCTCTCTCTTT